AATGGCAATGTCACACTGCACAAGGACACAGAGTAGGGTGGGTGAAATGTGTAAATGTTAAAAAATCTATTCAAAGAAATTTTTCTCCCTCTAATTCTTCCTTGGTCTTTGGCCATCAGTCAAAACCATATAAAATAAAGCAAATCCTTTTTTTTCAAATAACATCTTTTGAACTATTTGAAAAGAGCTATAATATGACTCATAGGTGTTTTCTTCCTTTGTTCTTTTTGCCATTTCTCAATTAGCTTATTTGAATTTACTCTAGATTTATAGAATAAAATAAAAAATACTTCCACTTTTCATTGAAGTATGAACACATTCAGTACAATAAAAATGGTAAGTGTCCATCTCAATGAAGGCTTACATCTAACTTACATTTATTTCATTGTTACCCAGATCAAGAGATAAAATATTTCCAGAATAGCAGAGGCTCTTTTATGCCTTTCCCAGTCAATTCTCCACTCCCAGCATGGCAACCACTGATGACTTGAGTGGAGTTTTTTTCCTTTCTTTCGAATTTGTTAAGGTGACACTGGTTAACAAAATTATACAGGCTTTAGGTGCACAATTTCACAAAACACCATCTGTACACTGTATTGTATGTTCATCATCCGAAGTCTCTGTACAGACCCATTTATAACCCCTATACCCTTCTCCTCCAGCAATCACCACACTGTTGTCTGTGTCCATGAGTTTTTCTTTTTTTTTCTTTTTTGCCCAAACCCTGCACCCCATCCCCATCCAGCCCCCCAAACACCCACCCTGACAACTGTCAGCCTGCTCTTTATGAATCTGTCTCTATTTTGTTTGTTAGCTATTTTGTTCACTAGATTCCACATACAAGTGAAATCATATGGTATTTGTATTTCTCTAACTAGCTTATTTCACTTAGCATAATGTTCAGCAGGTCTATTCATGCTGTCACAAAGGGTAAGATTTCCTTCTTTTTTATGGCTGAATAGTATTCCATTTTGTAAATGTACATTTTATGGAACTAGAACAAATATTCCAAAAAAACTTATATGGAATCAAAAAAAGACCCCTAAGAGCCACAGCAATCTTGAGAGAGAACAAAGTTAGAGGAATCACACTACCTGATATCACATTATACTGACAGGCCATTGCAATCAAAATAGCATGGTACTGGAATAAAAACATACATATAGATTAGTGGAACAGAATAGAGAACCCAGAAATAAACCCACACCTTTATAGTCAATTAATACTTGACAAAGATGGCAAAGTCATTGAATATTTTGTCTGTTCTTGAACTTCATGCAAATGGAATAAGACTGTATTTATTCTTTTCTGTTTGACTCATTTAACTCAGTGTCTGTAAGTGTCATCCATTTTTTTATGGGTAGCAGTAGTTTATTCTTTGATATTGCAGGGTACAAATTTTTATGTGGTATGACTATATTTATTTATTTATTCATCTATTTCCTGTTCAGGGACATTGGGTTGTTTCCAGTTTTAGACTCTTATAAATAAAGCTACTGGAAACATTAATGTATATGTCTTTTGGTGGACATATACACTCATTTCTCTTGGGTACCTAGCCAGGAGCCTTTAGAAAACATGGCCAATTCAACAAAGAGGTTACCAACTTAAACTCCCACCACCAATGTATGTGAGAGTTCCTGTTGCTTTACATTGTCATCCACTCTCGGTATCACCCATCTACATTTTAGCCATTCTGAAGGTAGCAAATACTCATTCTGTATTTATTCAGATGGCTGCATGATTTTTCTCCTTTATTCTGGTAATGTGGGGAATTACATTAATTAATTTTCAAATATCAAGCCAACCTTGTATTCCTGGGTTAAGTTTCATTTTGTCATAGTGTATTATGCAAATTCAACCTGCTAAATTTATTTAGGATTTTTCTGTATGTGTTCATTAGAACTATTAACCTATAACTTTCTTTTATCAAAATGTCTTTGTCAGGCTAAGGTGACAAAATTATGCTGGTAAATGTCACCAAAATGGCAGGATAGGAGTGTTCTGACTTTGGTTGTCAACAATTTGACTATTGTGTGTCTTGAGGTATTTTTGTTGTGGTTGTTTTGGTTTGGTTTTATTCTCTTGGGATTTGCTGAACTTCTTGAATCTATGGGTTAATATTAATCTCTAATTTTAAAATAATCTTTGACTATTCTCTCCTTAGATGTTGTTTTGGACCCATTCTCTCTCTCCTCTTTCTGAACTACTTGCTTTACCATTTTTTGCTTTCCATTTATCTATAATTTTAATGTTCTGTTCTTTTCTTCTTTTTCACTGTCTTCATTTTAGTTTAGATATTTTCTATTCATGCCTCCAGGGAACTAATCGTGTCTTCTGCTGTGCCAGGTCTTCTGTTACACCTATGCAACGAGTTCTCGATTTCACGTATTTAAAAATTTTTGGAATGTAGATTTGATTCACTTTTTATCTATATCATTTCCTGGTTCTAATTCTTAAACTTTTATTCCATTTTTGCCAACTTTGTCTCTATTTTCTTTACATTGTTATTCTGTTTTCTTCAAGTCCCTGAGAACTAATTCCAACATCTCTATAATCCATGGATCTCCTTCTGTTGACTGCTTTTTCTCTTGATTACTGATCATTTTTTCCACCTCTTTGAATGGCTTTTTTTTAATGTTTTGCTATACATTATGTACAAAATAACAATAGAAAATAATATTATTCCTTAGGGGGTTTCCCTGTTTGCACTTTCCTCTGTTAGACAGATAGTGTAAGGACATGATCACCTTAATTCAACAAAAAATGAGCTGATTTAGGGTTTAGTTAAACCTTTATTTTGAGTTAGTTCACTCTAGTTTTCAATATGTTTGATTTTTTTTTTTTTGCATACTCCCCTTTCCACCAGGACTCTGTATTCTAAGCATTGCGAAGATGAAGGAGAGTTCACTCTCTTTCCAGCCCAGTTTCTTGACCTCCCATGCAAATATCCTCTAAGTAAAAATGGCTACATGTTTGGGGTGCCTCTATAGTCCATTTTGTCATGCAAACCTACGCTGCATGCAAAATTTCACCTTTTTTACTTTCAACCAGTAGAATTTCTCTGCCTTGGCCAAGCTAAATCTTCAGTCTATGGCCAGACTCAGCAAATGTCCTTCAGGAAGACAGGCCAGCAGTCTCTGATTATTAGGAAGGGCTCTTCCTCTCAGAAATTGTATTTCCTCTAGTCTCGTGTGGTACCCAGAACAGTAGCTACAGCAGCATCTGGGAACTGGTTAGAAATGAAAATTCTCTGGACCCAACTCATGCTAACTGAACCAGAACTCTGCAGAGGGGAAGCCAATAGTCTGTTTTGACAAGACTTCCAGGTGATCCTGACGTATGTTAATGTTTAAGAACAACTGACCTAGTCCTCTCTTTTTTTAAATCAGCTTTCTAAAGTCTTTAAGAATATTATTTTTATAATTTATCTACTCTTTTCTCTAATTGTTAATGAGAAGAACCATGAACTGTTGCTACCCACTACCAGGAACAGAAGTCCCCTACAACTTGTTCTTGTTACTCTGCTAGCAAGGTAAAAGACTAGAATATTATTCTGTGATAGTCAATATTATCTCCCTGCTCTTTGAAGGCATTGAAGTTGGCTTTAGGAAATTGTTTCATCGGCGACATAGTTTGGTGATTTAAACTTCATCTGCAAGTTCAGGAATGAAACCTGACTGGCAGAACCGATAAGATTATTCTGTCCATTCATCCATGGTAATTGGCTCAAATGTGGACACATAAGCTCATCAAATTCACTGATGCCTGACTTACTAGAAGAGAGTCACTTTCTCCACTTCCATTGTTTTTTTTTTTTTTATGGAGTGAGGACAAAAAGTTTGAAGTGTGACTTTTTTTGACTAAAAATGAGGAGCATGGAACTATCAGTGGCCATTTTGTAAAGCCTGAAAATACAGACAACTCTAAGGTAGATTTGAGAGGTATGATCCCAAGGACATTATTTGAACCCTGAAGCAAGCATTCCTGAACCCTACCCTACATATGAACCTTTCATATGCAAGTAGTATGACCAACCATTCTAGTTTCCCTGGGGCTACGGGGTTTCCAAAGAAGAGGGATTTACAGTGTTAAAACATGCCAAGTCCTGGGCAAACTGGGGTGACCTAGTCCCTCTAGATGAAGAAGTATTTAAAGTTAAACTATCTTTATATGTTATCATTGGGAATAAGATGCGAACTATCACTACAAAAGAAGAGTCTTTTGTGATGTAGTTTTTCTCACTAGTTTTTTGTTTCATTTTGTTTTATTTAAGCCTTAGAAAAGGTGATGCATTTTAAATGTAAGCCACAGCCTGTCCACTTTCTGTTTCAAAATTGCTACAGGGCTACAGAGAATACACCATATATTAATCTAAATCCATTTATCAAAATGATGAATGAGTAGGAATGTATTTAAAACACACCATTAACAGTTTTCTGAAAAAGTACTGGACAAGTTCATTTCTCTAGGAAACTGTAAACTAAGAATGGTAAAAAGGAAAAAAACAAAGTTAATATAACTATTTAAATTTGCATAATGTCTCATAAAAAGGGCTTTCAAAATGCCTTCAGAAATGTCTGTGAATTACATCGATGTAGTAGAAGCTTGACTGCTTGTTAAATTAAAGGTTAGGTATATAGTATACAGCATAGGGAAATAGTCAATAATATCATAATAACGTTGTATGACAACAGATGGTTACTAGACTTATTGTGGCAATAACATCATAAGGAATAAAAATCCCCAAAATTACATTGTACACCTATAATAATATTGGAGGTCTACTATGCCTCAGTAACAAAAATGTTTAGGGAATATAATTCCACTTTTTATTCTGTTGGCCCACATGACTTAACCTTTATCTGCATTTATATCCTTAGATGTTCAGCAGCAAGAATGTCAATGACCTACTATATTTGGTCACGATGAGAAAAAGACTGAGACTATGTATTCTAAAACACAAGATGAATATAAATTGATAACTGATGAATAATAAATGTTTTTCAGCCATGTCACTTGCCTTATTCTAACATCTGAGGCTTCCAAAACCACCTTGCAAGAGTCTTTTAGTTCCTTAAAAAGAAAAAAAAGATAGCAAACTCAAAAATGAAATTGCAACAGCCATTATTTTAAGAGCATCATCCTAACATGGTCACACAAAATATACCCTTACCTTCACTCTTCTGTGACACAGCTGTCATCTTAGTTTTTGACCGTGACTGTTAATTTAGTCTGTGACTACTTCAATTCCAGTTGAGCAGAAGAAACTGTAGTTCATTAAAATCCATTCCTCAATTCAAACAACTGCCAACCGTACAAGCTGCCCCTGCAATTAAGGAAATGTAAAGTGATCCCCCACAGAGAGGAATGAAGTCAAGTCAGAAGCCAGGCCAACAAATCCTTTCCTCCTTACAGCTTCCCAGAAAAGCTTTGGCCGGAGACATGACCAGACCATGACCTAGAATAAGGAGATGAAGGTCTGCTTGTATCATGCCTCTGTGTATTCACCACATAAAGAACTTCGTCCCCTGGACTGCACTAGATTCTAGATTCTGTTCAGACTCTACACACTTTCAACATTTCTGCTGAGACCAAGTTTTATACTATTAAGAGATCTAAGCAGTCTTAAGACTGATCACAACACTGGGTAGGCCTCATCTACACTATCTTCCTTCTGAATTTTCTTCATTATGAATTCAAATAAGCCTCAGGCAGCTATAATTCTACTTTTCAATGCATTCTCATAACTGAACCATAAATTTTTTTGCACTTGAAGTAATTCTTTTTTTGTCTTTCAGCATAAGAAAATAGGAATTCTACACACGATTATTGCAGTGTTTAATCAAAATGTCATTTATCCTATGTCTTCTTAAAAAACAAAATTATTTTCTAAACAGCACACTGCTGTCCTTCTGATAGCATTTTTGTGTGTCCTTAATTTTAATGTCTTTCTAGGTTGTTTGCCTGATTCGTTTTAGGGAAAATAGAAGAACCTGCATACAGTGCATTACCATAAATGATTCATTTTGAAACTTTGTTTAAATCAGATATTAATAATCAAATACAAAGTTATGCTCTATCAAGTCTGATGATTCAGGAGCTGCTTGGAATCCATGCAGTCAATAGAGAAATAGTTACAGTACTATATAGCATAATTATTGCATAAACCCCAAACAATTTATCAGCTCACTGGTTTCATCCCAATCCCCCCACAATTTCTCCCCACCTTCCTTTTCCTTCCTTACCCCACTCTCTTCCTGCCATAGACACCCCCCTCACATACCCTTAGCTGTTATTTGACACATTTAAATCAAGCTAAGAAAAAATTCTATATGGAGAATTAAATGGTTGATTTCTCTTTTCATCATACATACATCATCTTCCATCTTTGTGATAACTTTCAACTCTCTTCTACAGAATTAATACAAAGATAAACACATAGACCAATGAAATAAAACACAAATCCCCAAAGAGATCCTACATGGATTTCTACGTTTTCAAATAATTGAGAGAAACATCACAAAGGAAAGTATAAACAGCTTGTATACACTAAAGCACTTGTGTCCATTGGGAAGAGTGTGTGGGAAACCTACAATTATAAGAAACAAGAGAGAGGAAAAGAAATTGCAACAAAACCAATTAACGAAGATATACATCTCTACCAAAAAACTCTTTCCAATTTATCAAGAATTCCATAGATTCAAACAATAAAAATGTTCATCTTAGTAATCAATATTAAGACAACTCTGAAGTACCATTTTACACCTACTAAATTTGTTTCAAAATGTTTTATAAATGCTGGTGATGCTAGGAAGAAAAGGGCAAAATTAATAGCACTGAAAATTAGTAGAAACTCCTAGAAAAGCAACATAATGAAAGATGCAGCTAGAATTATTAAAACATTTGTATTATTGAATTCAGTAATACAATTTACTGATATTTATTCTAAGGAAATAATTCAATAGTAGAAAATATTGTCTGCTAAATGTGTTCACTTCAGAATTTTTTATACAATAATATTACTGTGTAACTATAAATAACAATTCAGCAGATAAAAATTATCTGCAGAAGTTGCTCACTGCATCCTAATTTATAAAAGTGCAGGTGGTCACAAGGATGCGAAGCACAGCTTAGGGACTGTGTCCATAATACTGTAATAACTGTGTATGGTACCAGGTGGTAGGTGGGCACTAGACTCATCAGGGTGAACACTTTGTATGCTGTACAAATGCTAACCACTATGCTGTATACCTAAAACTAATACAATATTGAATGTCAACCGTAAATGAAAAAATCAATTTTAAGAAGTGGGGAAAGCCTTGGAGAGGTAATTCAGTTGGTTAGAGTGTCGTCCCTACACACCAAGATTGCAGGTTTGATCCCTGGCCAGAGCACATAAAGAATCAACCCATGAATGCATAATTAAGTAGAACAACAAATCATGTCTCTCTCTCTCCCTTTCTCTAAAATCAGTAAACTTTTTTGAAAAAGAAAGCTGGGGGAAGGAAGCCTAGGATCAAATTAATATTCAAAGAATAGAAATTATATAAATAATATCAGTTCCATGAAATATGAGGTGGCTATTTTAAATGATAATTACAATTGCTATATATATATGTATATGTATATATATATTTATCTGAGAATGATGTGACTACAAATATATTACAAACTAGAATTATGGGCTTTTTTCCCTTCACATTTTTAAAAGGTTTTACTCAATTATTTTTAGAGAGAAAGAAAGGGAGAGAGAAAGAGCTGAGAGAAACATTCAATGTGAGAGGGAAACATCGATTGGTTGCCTCTTGTACGCACCCCAACTGGGAACCACACCTGCAACCGAGGCATGTGCCCTGACCTAAATCGAACCTGTGACCTTTCCCTTTGTGGGATGGTGCCCAACCAAATAAGCCACACCAGTCAGGGCCCCTTCAATGTTCTTGATTTGTATAATATTTTTAAAATAAAAATGGGAGCCTATTTGTAAATAGATACCAGTCCATTTTCACCTTATTGTAAAAGCAAATTTGTGGTATGCCTATTTCCCTTGAGAAATAAAAAAGTTCTTCATCACTTTGTTTCCTCTTCCTCTGGGCACCAGCACCCTTCACAACTTGCTTTGGATCTATGAATAAGTTTTTGCCATGGGCCATTCCCACATGGTCCATGAAAACTTCCCACATGCAAATCTGTGTTTCTTCTGCTCTGCTACCCTGATATAGACAGGCACACTGTCCCTGGAAGTCACATGTGAAATATGGCACAGCCAGAGGATTGAAGGAGCCCAGTCACTGGAGTGAGCTGCACACCAGTCCATCTTTGACCACAGGCCAAGCTGCTGAGACTTCTGGATACACTGGCATTGCTTAGATTAGCTAGCTTTATTCTACTGACCTCCAGCTTGCAGTTTGATGGTTTCCAATTAGCTTCAGCAAGGAATTCAAGGAAACAAGTTGGAGCTCAGTCAAGCAAAAATTCCCAGTTAGAACTTGGTAGCTCCCAAGCAGATAACCGTGATTTTCTCTTTCAATAAAAAACTATTCATTCTCTCATCTAGCAGCCCTCTTTCTTCCTGTTTAGCCTTTATTTTTTCACCTAAACAAAAACTTATAATTTTGGTGTCAAATTAACCTATCACTGAGCATTTGAAAACTGCCTACCTGATGCCACATGGAGCAAAGAGCATGACAGCCCATCACATCAGGTGGGTGTGGGGTGGACATACACACAGCCGAAAATCGAACTGAAGACACAGAAGTCTTAGAGCTCATGGCCATGGGGACATGCATATGCCAAAATTTCATCCTTGTGACTCTTAGGTTCAAAGGGTTTAGAAGTCAGTGTGGTTTCCAAAGTGTTGGTTCAGATTATTTCTAAGATTCAAAGGCTTTGGCGAGAAAGTGAAGAATAGTTGTTGAATATCTTGTCAGTTGCCATTGACAACCATGTGAGTTGTCAGAGTACATGTTTGTCATCAGGGAGAGCAGGACCTAGAGACATGGGCCAGTGCTGGCCATCTCGTGCCCACGCAGGTATCACTCATGATCTTGGCATTCCTTCCGGTCCATTCTGAATCCTGGGCACAGTGTCCTAGCAGCTGCTAACAATCAATCAGTTGGTAGGTGACATCGGAGATCCTCATCTCGCAACAAAGGCTGAGAATTTCTCAAAGGATCTTGCAATTGTAGCTCAAGGCTGTTTGCCCTCAGAGTGGAAGGGCCTTATGAAGTTGCCAAAAGCTGCCTTGAAAAAGGAGTAAAACAGCAGAAATATGGACTCTTCAATGAAAAATGTACATATTTTAAACCTTAAAAATCACAAACTGTACCATTAATTTTAATTATGCAAATAGAACAAAAGTGCATAAATTTCAGTCTATAATTATAAGTCCAAATAATCTAATCAGAATTGATTTGCGATCAGAGCCAAAGTCTCATTTATTCTTAAATTTAACCTATTTTACTTGAGGTTTTTTGTTTTGTTTTGTTTTTAGAAAAATTACTATTAAATGACACCTGGAATTGAATGTGAACTTCAATATGGCAACACACACGCATTGTCTGACCTTCTCCTCCTGACAGCTCCCTGTTGTACTGCAATGTGCCCCTACTAGAATGACCATCATATATTTTCTAGCCTCTTCTATTTTATCATCTGGGCGCTGCCTGTATCCTCATCTTTCATCACCTTTTGTAATACACCTTCTACACCAACCATGCAGAACTACTCGGAGTTTCTTACCACGAACCCCTCCTGGGCTGCCCGCATCTGCTCAGGCAACCAGCACCTCTTCGCCCACATCCTGCCCCACCTTCTCCACTCACACGGATTTACATAGTCCTTCGACTCTCACCTGCAGCTTGGCCTTCTTTTCAGAATCTTCTCTGGGTTAGCTGTCCCTCTTCTGTGTTCCCAGAGCATAAATACAAAGCACTTGGCATGTGCATTTTTAACTACAGGCTGACTTGTTTTTTTTAATAATTATTATTATTATTTTGAACACACTATAAGCCCCTTGAAGTAAGAAACAACCTTTCATCTTTGCATGCTCACAGCAGTGTTGGCATACAGGTAGCTGTTTAATAAATTTGTTATGTCATTGGTGGATTGAATTCTGCAGTTTATAACTATTTGGAAAATAATGCCAAGATCACTTCTTAACCTAAGCCCACACCTCAAAGCTTTCTAGTTTGCTAGAATGCAGATGAGTAGCATGGTTACTAAGGTATTGTAGAGATTATATTTGTTGAGTCTAGGCTTTGTTGTTTTGTTTTGTTACAGTTTATAAATTGTTTACCAGAAATTCCTAACAAGCTGCTATCTGTCCATATAAGTTGCTATATTAAAGGCATGCATCCACAATGGGAGCATGCAGTACACACTTGTGGAATTCAGCCTTCTGTGGATAGAAATCATTCATTTATTCATTCACTCATTTACTAATCATTTTAATGCCTACACGTATAGGTTCTAGGTGTTGGAGATGCTGCAATAAAAGAAACTAAAAAGATCGATAAGCCTGCCCTCACTGAATTGACATTCTACACAGGGGGAGACACAGCCTGGACAGATTGTATTTTGTCAGGTGTTATGAAAAACAGTAGTTTGGAGTGTCATGGATACAGAATGCAATGATGGAAAGAGGGTTGCTACTTCACAGTGTGGTCAAGGAAGGCCTCTCTGATAAAATGATATTTTGAACCAAAACTTGACAGGAAGAGAAGGGGTATGGCAAGTGCAGGGGCCCTGAGACCAAGTGGGGTTGGCATTCTCCAACCCCCAAAAGTAAGGAAAATAAGAAAAAAAGTAAATAAAAGCAAAAAGTAACAAAAATAAGGCAGAAGATGACTGAGGAGGTGTGGGAGACAGGAGCTAATGCAGGGCTTGTAGGAGATAGAGCTTTTATTCTAAGTGGGGAATTACCGGAAGATTTTGAGAAGACAAATGGCATGATTCTACTTGTATTTTGAAGATTACTGTGCTGTTGAGTAGATGACAGGGAGCAAGGCAGGAACTGGGGGAAAAAGTTAGGGACTACTGCAGTGAAACAGGCAAAACAACTGTGGCCAAACCCAGAATGATCTCAGCAGTGGAGACATGAAGCGTCTGTATTCTGGATGTGTTTGGAAGGCTAAGCCACCCAACTGTGAGGTGTGAGAGGAGGGACACGTCAAGGACACCTGCAGGGTGGGCGAGTAGAGCAAACTCAGCATCACTGAGGTGTGGGATTCATCAAAGTGTGTCTTTGGAGAAAATGCAGACTGTGTCTTCTTTATTTTCTTCCTCTGTTAGGTAAATTATATTTATAAGGTATATGCTTAATTTTCTGATTACTTAAGTCTGTCTCTTTTCCTCTTCCCTTTTTTCCCAGTCACCAAACCTTGGAGTTTGTCCCTAAACACCTAGAGATGCCTCAGCTACCTTGACCCTTCCTCAGTAAGGCTCTGAGGACTTCCTGCTTCAAGTAATGCAACACCTCCCAATTCGTCTCCAGCCTTCATTCTAGCATCTCCAGCCTCTCCCATGACAATGGAAGCGCAGACAGAATTGTCCCCATCATGTTCAAAAATCAGATGTCATTTGCATGCTGAATAAAAACCGTGCCTCTCCACTGGGCAAGAATCTACACAGTGTGCTTTTCTGGCCTTGCATTCCATGTCATGGGCCACCATTGTCCGTGGCTTCTGTTGTATATTCATCTGGCCTCCCAGTTCTATTGGTTTGCATGACTCCCTCTTCCAAAACCTGTCCCAGCCCCAAACTCACTTCTAACTGTGCTTGTTGGAATGTTTCCAATCCTTTAATATCCATCATTCGAACAAGGCCTTCAAGCTTCATCTAGCAAGAACTCCCCTTTCTTCCCCTACGTCCTCACACCCCTCGAGCTTCTGTAGTGTTTATTTGTGTATATTTCTGTATCTCCTTTTGGGCAGTAGCCTGCTGTGTGAGAATGAAGAATTTGTTTTATTAACCATATCTGTACAGCTCTCAGCAGAGTACTGCTCAGAATAGACTGTCAATAAATAGTCATAGTGGGTTTAAACAGCAAATCGCTACTGCAAGGAGAACAGTCTTAATTTTGAGAAAAGATTTGCAGAATTTTGGGTGGATTCTCACACAGAGTCTGCATGCACACGCACACACACACACACACACACACACACACATTTTAAAGTGCATTTTCTTTTATAGGATATTATTATTATCATGGTCTGTTCAAAACAACAATTTCACCAAAACAATTATTTTAAAGGTCACGTTCAAATACTCTATAAATATAAGTCCCACTGGAGTAATACTTAGAAAATACTGTAAAATAAATTAGATGTTTTGTTCCTCTGAGGCCAAGAACATTTTCATTTCTGTGTGCAAATAAAAAATATTGACTTTTTCTTTACTGGAAAAAAAATCATTGGAAACACACCAGGCAAAATGGATATGTGTTACAGAAAGCCAGATGTCTTAAGGGCACTGAAATAGGTTAGGATCTCATAACTTAAGGATGTCTTAAGGGAAGACTGATGAATGTTGTGATTTGGAAAATTGAGGCAAGCTGGATATTCTGTTTAATACCATGAGTGCCCCAGAAGCCACTTCATGGCTGTGTATCAACGTTATTGGTATAAATGTCTTTCCCGACTAGACTGTTGCCTTGGAGCCACTTCATTCGACCCTGCGGATTAAAATTATTGGTATAAATATATTTTTCTTCACTAGATTATAAATTCCTTGAAAGAATATCCCCTGAAGTTATTGGTACCTATACGTGTGCTTTTCCCTCATGACTTCAGTTTCTGGAGGACAGGAAGTCTCCTTTATATGCCACCAGCTCTTACCACAGAGCTTCCTACAGAGCATTCACTCAGCAGGAGGGAAACTCATCTTGCCCTTGGGCTAACTACACTGTGACTTCCTTTGTTTGCTAAAGGACAGACACTTCAGCCTATCCCTGATTTAGAATTCTGTATTACTTGTAATATAGGTACAGAGGTTAGAAGCAAGATCCAAAATAACAGTGGTTTAAACCAGAGAAAGCTTCCCAAGACTTCCTCCTCAGTCTAGCCAACCTTTGCAGATGGCCCCGGACCACGGTGTGTGGCTGTGTAGGATGGGCACTGCACCACACCTCTGAGGGCCCCATCGCACTGTGGTCTGCGGTGCTGCTCTGCTAGTCAGAGGTATGAGGGCTGTACACCTAGATTCAGCCATCCCAAGGCCGCTCCATGGTGATAGAGATCCTGACCCTTTATCCAACTGCCCCCTCTTCCAAAATCCGTCATGAGCCAGGATGGGTCCCTGCCACCACCTCCACATTCCGTAAGAGTATGCTGACTGGAAGCTGCATGTGTCACTTCCACTCACATTCCATTGTCTAGAACTTAGTCACACCGAGGCACCTGGCTGTAAGGGAGACTGGAAAATTTCTTTCTTCTCAGTGCCAACTTGTAACTCAAGGGATCCATCACAGTAGGAGTGGAGAACAGATTTGGAAGACAACCAGAGATCTCTATGACACACCAGAATGCCACCTTTCATTTTGTCACTTACGTTTCTATGTCTGCAATTTTCATTACAACTTCCATTTCTTTATTCCTGGTAACCAGGAATACCTTATTTGTTTTCTAAATTTCTGTTGTATCATCTGTGAATAATGGCAGTTTTTTTGTCTTTCTTTCTCATCCTTATACATGCCCCCACCTGGCTGCCTTATTTCACTAGCCGGGACCTCCTGAACGAAGTTCAACTGAAAATGTAATAGTGAACACACTGGTCCCGTTATGACAAGGGAAACATGCACGGGACCACCCTGTAGTGTGTCTGCTGTAGGCTCTTTGTAGATACTAGTTACTGCATTCAAGAAACCCCTTTTACTCTCCATATGAAGGACAAGGCATCTATAAGTAATAGTTTTTGAGAAATATTCAGACCATAAGATGCACAAAGACTTTAGAGGAGGAAAACTGGGGAAAAAATTGAAGCAAAAAATGTGGCAAAATATTTAATAACATAACATAATATTTCACCAATGTAAATGTAAACAGAACTCAACAGCAACATAAATAACCATTATTCCTCCCAAATTTGGGAGTGGGGAGAGAGTCTTATAGTCCATAAACTAGGGTAAGTATCTTGAGAACAGTAGCATGACTTTCTTACCTGCTCTGAGTTTCCAGGAAATGAGCTGACAGCAACACAGAGGAAAAAACCTGTCCAGCT